ACGTTACGCTAATATGTAAACCATATTGTGAAACATTCCGGGCGATCATCCAATCAGATTTAAAGCCCGCTATGCTCCCTAATGGTGGAAGGCACGAAAGATGGCGTGGAAAGACTTGGTTCGAGTTATTAGGGCCAAATAGAGCTTTAGACTATGTCACGAAGCTCTAATTCGGGATCACGTGGTTACAATAGTTTATTTGTCAGAATTTTGGAAAACGAATATATGTAATTATATACGTGAAATGTAATTAGCAAAAGCTAGAGATGTCTAAATGCTCCTTATTTGAGATATCTTTTATTAAAAGCGAACTCTTGGTCCTTATATACAACTTTCGGCTATACTATGATTCGCTATTTCTATCTAATATATATAACCTATCTAACCTATCTAACCTATCTAACCTATCTAACATATATAACGTATATGATATATCTAACATATATAACGTATATGATATATCTAACATATATGCTAAATCCAACATATCTGACGGATTCGGCATATCCGACAGATCTGACAGATTTGTTAGATCTGTTAGATCTTTTCTAACCCACATCGATGTACTATGCCAAAAAAATGATTTAAGCTACAATTAACCCTTTCATATACTCCCACACTTAGTTTTCGAGTTCCATGAGAAAGGAGCTAACTAAGTAAAAAAAAGAAAAGAAACTGCAGATACGTTTTACTAAATTTTTTTTTTTTTTTAATTTTCTTCGATTTCATCCAGGCCAATTCCAATCATAGCACGCATCGAGGCAGCAGTTACCGTGACCTGAAGTAGCTGCTAGTACTTCGGAAGCGGTAATGTTGCAATTTTGGCCAAATTCATGTAGGTGGTTTGGCAGATTTGTTCAATACCTACAAGTTTGAACAATTCGTAGACGCAGACTGCAGCCATAAAGTAGTAGAGCATCATCCTTGCTCGCTGCACCGTCCTTCGTTCTGGGAGTAGCTGGGCTATCATGGCGTCTAGATAATAGGCATAAATTAAACTGCCTATTCTGTTTCTTCTTCTTGAAGACCTAGTCATAGCTTGGTAGGTTCTTCACATCTGTGTTTCGATGGGGTCTGTTATGGCATACGGAGGCGGGAAAGGTACCACATGCTCTGGTTGGGTAGCCAGAAGGTTATTGACAAGAGAACTAAAATTCGTAGGCATCTTGAGTCATTTGGAATGGTACGTTGCGAATTACCATTCCCTATTTATATGTTTTCTCGTAGTTGATCAATTGGTTTTTTTTTTTTTTTTTTTTTTTTTTGAGAAGCTTATACATTCTCTTCGTGAGGTTAGTATAAACATAAGATGGGCCCATCTGCTTTAGTATTAGCTTATGGCTCCAGGTATTTGGGAAACACTTTGCTTCTTAGAAAAATCGCGTGGCTTTAATATGTTGATCACGGCTATTTTTTGGCCTTGGGCGTTAGTACAATTTTGTACCTAAGCTGAGCCTCCTCAGCATTGATCGTCATCTTTTTAGAAGCTTAGGTGCTAGGCCACCGACTACCTAGTCTGAATTGGATTTACCATCAGATTTCTTCTTCATATGTTAATAACTTCGGGTAAGTCTTCTTATCTGATTCTTCATGTTCATCTTTTTTAATACCAATTCCATTTTGATAACAATATCCAATTTGTGAATACGCTTTGACATTCCTCTGGGGCTTCTCTTGAGTCTTTCCAGTAGGTAATGCGGACGTTTCCTTCATTCTTGCTGTCTCTTTCTTCTTTTCGAATCTTCATACTAATCGATTCTTCTTTTTTTCGGGTTGTTTCAGTTATTTACCCAATGTGCCCCGTCCTCGCACATGATTGTCATGACCAACTATATCTTTTCTTTCGTCATGTCCATTATTTTGTGGTTACTTTTCTTCTATTACTTTAGTTGGAGCTTCGATTTTTTTATACTTCAATCCCTTTAACGTCGGATTTAACTTCGACATTCTATGTTCTTGAGGTAGGTATTTTTTCGTGTCTTGCAAAATCATCCGTACGATAATTAAAGATTTTTTTTTAGCTTGATCCAAGACCGTTTTGTCTATTTTGGCTAATTCTTGATAGCCTCGTCCTTCTAATTCGCCACTCTTAACGTATACGTATTTCGGGTGCTTCTAATTTATTCGCAATAGACACATTTGGTAAAATGTTACAACTTTTTCATCGATGGTTGTTTTTCAGGTTCTTCTCTTTTCTAGTTCAGCTTTCGGAAAATGTCTTTTTTTTTTTTTTTTAACTCTATTTGTATCATATTTATTTCTTAGCACGCCAAAACAATTCAAGTATGAAGGATTTTATACAGTAATTCTTCAGTTCTTGGATAAATTCTTGCTCATTTTTGTTTGAATTGCGGATTACTTCAAGTGCAACATTAATATCGAACCAATTTGCATAATATAGAGTTGCAAATACTCCTTTACCGATTTTTTTATCATCAGATGATCTACTAAATAGAATCGAATCTTTAAGTTTCCAAGCCATAAGTTGGAACGTTTTTATGCATTCATCAATATCTTTATTTCCAATTGTCCACCTTGTGGTGCCAGGGTCACATAATAGACACCATGCTTGTTGTGCGTTATCTTCATTACAATGTGCATATTTCCATATTCCAATTCTCTACGAAGACTATTATGAAATGGGTCCTTCATACGCTATTTATAAATTTTATTTTTATCCATGCTAATTCCATAAAAGTAACAAGTGGTCGTTTCCCAAATTCCTATGGGATTACCTGCCTCAGCAAACTTTACATAATGTGTAAAAGTTTTATGCTGATCGATTTGACTCCAATTTCATATTCGTAGCAATATCCAATTATATATATTGCATCAGCATTTCTCATTTCAGTAGATATTATATTTAATGGTAATATGTAAACTCTTTTTGCTTGTTGATTTTGATGCCAATTTCTAGATTATAACAATAATTAACTTGATACATTCCATTTGAATTATTCATAGCAGCTGATTTTTGATAATGCATGAATACTACGTTTTTATCCTTTTTAACTCCAGTACCATGTCAATAACAATGTCCAACTTGATATGTTCCTATATTAGCAGATTTACGATAATTATTAAATGTCTTTTGTTTATCTTTTCTAACTCCATTTCCTAACATATAGCAGTTACCAGTCTCAAACATTCTATGAGAGTATCCATATTGGCAAATTTTTGACAAGTAGAAGTCATATGATCACTCCTTTTAACTTCAACTCCATTTCTATATAAATGGCTAAAGCCATATATTGTGCTAGCATTTCCCATCTCAGCAGATTTCTGATAGTAATTGAATGCCTTAGATTCATCCTTTATAATTCTTCGAATATAACCTTTCAATCTTTCATTCTCATAGTAATGCCTAGTTACTTGATTAATCGTGTTGGGTCTGTCTATGTTGTTTTCTTCTAAATGTATTCTGACATTGACTCTTAGTGTATATAGCAGTAGGATAATGCTGAAATTAAACAAAGCAAATCTAGCTATAATTGAATTAATAGTTTTTTTTCTTTTGGATTTTAACCGACGTATTTGACCAATTTTATCTATCTTTGTTGATTTCTTGTACTTGGCAGGTGCCCAATGTTTATTTTGTCTAACACTAATTCCACATAGTTGATAAGTGTTTCGTACTATTTTAACTCTTTCAGCTTTATTGAGATATACTAATTTTTTACCATCCTCGTTATTTTTAGCAGCTTCTTGATGATGAATGAGTGTCTTATAATAATCCATTTTTTGTGGATTTTTGGTCATCCACTAGAATCTTCTTTTCGATACTTTCGTAGTTATTTAAACCTAGCCAATCTTTGGGAATTTCGTTATTACAAAGATGCCAAATTTCGCCCTTATCATTATCATTGTTGGCGTTTTCAGATTCATCAGGAAAATAAATACGGTGCAGATCTGCAAAGATTTGCAACCATAGAATTTATTAGCAAAATTTACGATATCTCGTGATCCAACACTCCGAATTTAAGGAAACAAGTACCATTCGATTCGCCTCGATGAGGCGGATCGGATGGTACCAAAATAATTAAATTTCTATCACTGGAACGTGAGATAATCGCGTTTAAGTGGATATTACAACCACCTCATGAACTCACTAATCATTGGTCCAAAATTGATAAGTTTGGTACCATTCGATTCCTCTTGATGAGACGGTTCGAATGGTATCAAAAATTTTAAAATATGATTACTGGGTATTGAGATATTCGTAAAATACGTTTCGTGGAGCAGTTCTGCGCAGAAAAAAATTGCAGAGCTGCGCAGAACTGCGCCGCGAAACGTATTTTGCGAATATCTCGACATCCAGTGATCGGATTTTAACGTTTTTGATGCCATTCGAACCATCTCATCGAGAGGAATCGAATGGTACCAAACTTATCAATTTTGGACCAATGGTTAGCGAGTTCGTGAGGTGGTTGTAATATCCACTTAAACGCGATTATCTCACGTTCCAGTGATAAAAATTTAATGATTTTGGTACCATCCGATCCGCCTCATCGAGGCGAATCGAATGGTACTTGTTTCCTTAAATTCGGAGTGTTGGATCACGAGATATCGCAAATTTTGTTAAAAAATTCTTGGTCGCAAATCTTCGCAGATCTGCACCATATTTATTTTCCTGATGTTCTTCGTCCAATTCAGAGATTTCTTTTTCTGTGTTAATGCGATGGTCGTTTTCAACTTCTATTCCATCAACATAATCCATTTCAGCTAATTTTCGGTAATTCACCAGAATTTTCTCTTCGACCTTTACTTCATTCTTGTAACCAGGTTCAAACGTCATTTCTAATTCATCCTGTTTGGCTTTGATTCCGGGTTTGTAGTAAGGCTTATTTGCTTTATATTCATCTTTTTTGACTCCAACTCCAATTCGAAAATAATCCTCTAGGTTTTTTGTATCATCGCTTTGAGCTATACCCACAGGTTTTTGATAATAAATGAGTGCTTTAGGTTCGTCTCTAACCTTGTTCTTAATTTCATCCTTTTTGACTTCAGCAGGCTTTTGACAATGGTCGATTGCCTTATTTTCGTTTATTTCAAATTCAATTCCGTTTCGATTAAGTTTCGCAAAGCCATTGGTTCCTTCAGTTTGTCCCATATCTATCGATTTTTTATAATGTATGAATGCCTTATGCTCATTCGTTTCTTTTCTAATTCCATCCTGATTATAGTGCCCAGAGTCATATGTTTCATTAGTTCAATTTATTTCTGCGACTTTTTGATAGTAAATGAATGTCTTACACTCATCTTTTTCCTTAAGTTTGTCCTTTTCATCCCGAATTCCATAATATCCAACATTATATAGTTCACTGCAATGTCCATTTTTAGCAGATTTTCGACGATGAGTGAATGATCCACTTCAGCTTTAATTCCATCTTCATGGTATTTATAATTACACTTCTTTCGTTGTTGATAATCAGGGAGTTCCTTGATATTATTAAACCGAGTTCTAATATTCTCATAACAGTTTCGACTAATTTCCTTATAATCTTTCTTCTTTGAGGCCCATTTATACGTAATTGTATCGTATTTTGTAACCAACTCTTGAGGGAGTTGTTTTGGGTTGGTTATTCCTTTTTAGAACCAAGCTTAATACTTTCACATGGTTCTTTTTCCTATCCTTCTTGGGTGTAACAAGTATCATAGACGTTGGTGACCATTGTTCCTTTTCGTTGGAGCCTGGTCGAAGGGACTTTCATAGTACAAGCCATTGGAAATTATCATAGTCAGGGTCACTTGGATATAAGGCGGCAAATATATAATCAGGACTTCTTCAGTACTTCTATCATTAGTGAGATTTTCTAGTATTTCGAGTACTAGGTTCAAGGCTGGTGGAAGTTGTGCATCATCAATAGATTTATTCCCAAAAGTTTCATTTAGATTTCTTGGAACTCAGCTGCTTGTTTATCGGTAAGGACCTCAGATAAAATGGCGCATAGTTCTTCTAACACTTCCACTTTAGGACATTTATTAACCATATGCCCTTTTGTCTTGCAACAGGAACATTATACTTCTTTTTGCAGGTTTCTTCGGGATAGTCTATAGCTTCACGAATTAGTTGATCGAATTTCTTCTTTCTGATAAGTATTTACTTCCATCTTGCTTTAGTTTGGGTTTAGATTGGTAGATTCATTTAACTTTCACAGACTAGGGAAACTTCTTGTTTCACATAGGTTAAAAAGTCCAATCTCACAGTCACCACCAAATTGTAAGGGGCTAAATCGACCCCTAGTGTCGAAATAAGGCTTCACGGATATCTACAAGGACAAAACTAATCCAAATCAACACACAGTACCACCAAATTGTGTCCAACCCAATCTGGACCCTAATAGTGGAAGGCATGAAAGAGGGCATGGAAAGACTTAGTCTGAGTTATTAGGGCCAAATAGAGCTTTAGACCACATCACGAAGCTCTAATTCGGGATCATGTAGTTAAGATAGTTTATTTATCGGAATTTTGAAAATGAATATGTGTAATTATATACATGAAATGTAACTAGCAAAAGCTATAGATGTTTAAATGCTTCTTACTCGAGATATCTTTTATTAAAAGCAGACTCTTGGTCCTTATATACAACTTTTGGCTATACTATGATTCGCTATTTCTACCTAACATATATAACCTATCTAACCTATCTAACCTATCTAACATATATAACGTATATGATATATCTAACATATATGCTAGATCCAACATATCTGACAGATCCGGCATATCCGACAGATCTGTTAGATCTTTTCTGATCCACATCGATGTACTATGCCAAAAAAATAATTTAAGCCACAATTCACCCATTCACAACGTACAATTTTTACTACTCTCATGATCTAGTGATCAGATCCGTATAATTTTTTAACAGCGATCACAGATCGGAATTTTGGGTTTACTAATCCCCCTAAGTTCCTATTGGCCAAATACAAATTTTGTCCATTATTGAATGAAATAAATTACTGATCGAATAGCTTAAAAAATATAAAAAAGTATCAATTCGAATAATTGATTTGTAAATGTTATTTCTTTAAAAGTTAAATGTTTATTTAAATATTTCTTTCTACTCATTAATACTAGTTCTCTGAATAAAAAACACTTCAGAAGCTTTTTTTTGGCAGTTTTTCTTGAACTATTTCATTATCACAAACTGAAATAAACATATATGAAGTAGGAACTAAAATTTTAGCTTTATTTTTTATTATTTATTTTTTTTTATCTTTTTTTTTAAAAAAAAAATTTAATTATACGGGACCATAAAAAGCCACAGGTCTAAACTTTTAATTTAATTTATTTTGATTTAATTAAATTATTTTATTTTAAATTAAATTAAATTATTTTATTTT